TAAACCACAGAAGGCCAAAAAACAGAAAGGAGAGCAAACCGAGAAGAAAGAAGTGGAGGTGGGACAACGATAATAATCAATACTAAAAGGAATACAATAAGAAACATCAGATATCGCAAGCAAAAAAACTTTTTCAGAAATATTTATTCAAAATCAAAAGACCTTAATGACATATAAAAAATGGATATTTTGATCGCGATTTGCCTCAGTAGTAGCGTACGACGTCCTCGGCGGCCGCAAAAGGCAACGGATTTGCCGGATATCGGGCGGCAGATGGTGAGATCGAGTGATGCGACGGCGTTTACCGCCGGATTTCTACATTCCCTGACCTTCGCTTTTCACAATCGATGAACGGCGGACCTTAGAGGGGTCTAAACCGGGCATGGGCACGCGGTGGCTTGAAAGAGGATTAGACGGCGGCGGTGTTATTAAAACTAAAGAGGATGAAATGGAAAAGAAAATTACTCGACGGAAACTTCCAGCTACCACGACGGCGGCGGGGAGAGAGAGAGAGAGAGAGAAAGAGAGAGAGAGAGAGATGATTTTTACCTCTTTCGTTCGGGGGAAGGATTAGGCAGAATGATGGATATGGCGAAAGTATTGATAGGTTTACAAGATTTTGTGTCCAAAATCCAAAACGGGTTTGGATCGTGCCGGGTGGGTCTACCCAGCATCTATCTATTATCTATCTATATTCTATATCTATATTCAATATCTATACTTATATTAAAAGGAAACCTATTTACTAAATATAGTAAGTAGAAAAGTCAATTTTAATTAATGCACTTCTAATTTTATCAAGTAGTAATTAATACATTTATAATTTAATCAAGTTTCCTATTTTACATATTGTTTTTAATCCTTCTTATCTTGACATAAAAAAATCCCATAAAATAGGGTGAGCAAAAACAATCAAAATTCTGTTTCTAAAAACTACAAATCAATATTACGATTTTATAATACACTAACAAATTATAATATATTTTTATAAAACTTATAAAAAAATATTAAAAAAACTTGGTTCGTATATTTGTATGGATATTTATATTTTTTTAATATTATCTTTGTGTTAAAAAAACTATTTAACACTATTCTTTTTTATTATATAATAAAATAATAATTAAATATTATATGATGAACAAAAATATATAAAACTGTTACTTTTTTTTATATCAATGGATAAATTTATATACTGAAATTAAAATTTTATTAGTATAAATATTTTAGTGAGATAATATATTAATTATTTTACAAGCTAGCCCTAACATACTCATATTTAAGTTCTGGCTAAAAAACAATGATGGTTAAAAGATATGAAAAAAAAAACTTATAACCTTTTTATTTTTTAGACTTAACGTTGATCAAAAGAGGTAGAAAATAGATAATAACACTATTACTTTTAAGATTTAAACGGACAAGGCTGTTAAAATAACTCATTTAATATCTATGTTCCGTGCATCGCACGGGATACGTACTAGTATATATAAAAAGAATTACCTTTTTTCAAAAATAGTATGTCAAACTATAGTGAAAATTTATTTGCATTAATTACATACTATTTTAGTAACTTTTATTTGTTTTCTTTTTTTTTTGGCAAAAATCTAGCATTATCAAATAGAGCCCTTAAATCATGGTAGTTGT